GATGATTTATCACTGACTTTAATACTGATGAAGGGCACTTACATGTAGCATATAATTTTAGAATTGCTAACCAACATTCACACTACTGGGATAAAGACTTTAAATTATGAGTTATTGTGTTTCATAGGATACTAAGATTCATTTATAAGTATGTTTGTTTCCTGTATCATTCAACAGTCCAAATAGTTGAGCACCAAGATTAACATGACTTAGTTTCAAAATGTGACTGCTGGGAATATAACAGGAAATCAAGTGACAGATGGCTAGCTACTGCTTAGCAGTGACCATGGAAGCTCCATGCAAAATAGATTCCACCACAACCCAGAACAACCATAGATAGTAAGTTATTTATATTAACTTAAGGAAGGCAAGAACTAATGACAACCACCACCGTGTAAGCTGTGAATTAACAAATAATATTAATGTACAGAGAACACTGACACAAAAGCATTACAATAAAGACATAATTTAAAATCTGGACAAGAATTTCAGTGGTTTGTAATAGTGTACCAATGGCCATTTAAATTTATATATAAATTTAATTATATATAAATTTAATTATAAACACATAATTCATGTGCGTACATACACTCATATATATAAAATTTATGTGTGTAGATACATAACATGTATAACTGGTACATATATATCCACCCACATACTCACACACACACATATATATATCCATACTCACATATATGTGTGTATATATCCACACAGATATAATTTATGCATGTGAAGATATATGATATTTATCATATATATGCATACATATATGTATAATATACATGTAACATAAATATGTACCACTCTGTAAATTCTGAATTTAATTTTCCAAGTCTTAATAACAGTAAAATATTCTTAAAACATGCAAAAACAAGTTTCATTGACAGTGATTTTTCAGAATAACTTATTTGGAGCAAGTGTATTTCCTGTACTAGTGAATGCATTATGGGAAATACAGTTAACTCTCTTAGAATATTAATGCTAAAAGCAACTCTCCAGGTCACTAAGTCTAACCTCCACAGTTTACAATGGAGAGACACAAACAAGTGAGGAAAAATCACTTTCCTGTTATTCACATTAGCAAGGTTAGGATTAAAAGACAAATTGCCAAATATCCTGTTCTGTACTCTTTTCACAAGTCAGAAAATGCTCTAAAAGCATTCTGCTGTTACCTCACTCTCTATTAGCACCATGAGGAGAAGTTTTCTTTCATATTGAGCCAAGTGTGGAGCCACCTGCAAATTCTGAATGACCGATGCAACACAAACAGATAGGGAGATGGAATGAAAACTGTGGTAACTGGAAACTTACTGTAGCAAAAACAAAAAACTGGAATATATTTTTAAGTCTACAAATATAAGATCAATTACCTGAGATTAAAGGGCAAAGATGGCATAGTAGAGGAAAAACCCCTTACATCAATTATAAAAACATTTTCAGTGATACTCAGTTTTATCATCCTAAGCGGATGTCAGCCTTGCCGCAGTGGTGTATTATACAGTCAAATGAGCAAAAGTACTCATCATCCTCAGCTAAAATTTAAGCCCTGATTATTGGTTGTTGTTGTTGTTGTTTTTGTAACAAATGAGTAAAAATAAACTAAAAAGAAAACTGAAACTATACTTGGAAACTCATAATGACCCTGTCAACACATGACTTATCTGAAAGGGATCTTTAAATTCATGGGAAAGGCTGCACCATATGTTAAGATTTTTTTAAAAAGAGAGACATATAAAACAGGAATGGACGATGTAGAAGGGGAAATTTGCATCAACCAAGTCTTTGCCTGCAAAGAACACAGTGCCAGCAGAGACTGGTGACAGACTGCCGATAATATCATTCTAAACTTTAGTATTGCCTAAGGAAGCAGAATAGCCAGCTGTACAGTCACCCTGCATTTATCCTCTGGAGAGGCTTCAACAATTATTTTCTGCTTATGAAACCATAATCTGTGAGTAAAGAATGAGGGGGACTCTTCCTTCCAGGAGTTCCTCTGGTTCTTTGTACCCCTTTCATTGTCCCTTTCATACATTTTTCAAGGATGAATAAGAAAGACCCTGCTCATCACTGCTACACCGCCTGGGACTTTTCTTCACTGGCATGGCCACCTGCAGCTGCTTCCAGAACCTGCCCTGTGGATACTTGGATTTTTCCCCTTTCCATTTAATGACCGTGAGCACCGTCTTAGCCCTCTTCAGCTCTTTCACCTTCGTCTCCTTCACAGCTTTGTACTGTACTAAAATGACGTTGATGTTGCCCCGAGAGGCCATATTTTCTAGGCCAGCCTTGAGCTCCAGCAGGGCTTGGGTTCCCTGGAGCACGTAGTTGGGGCTTAGAACAACCAGGAGGCGTCTGCTTTTCTGAATGAAGCTCAAGGTCTCATCTGTGACAACTGGGAAAGAAAACAACCATGGGGATTAGTGTTGGCCAAAACTCCCCAAAACCATGGGGCTTGAGGAGCAAATGTAGGGAACTTAGGATAAGCCTGAGAATTGAGGTGAAACTTCTTACAAGCAACATGTTGAATAACTCAGTCTTTAGACCTAATCACTTTATCCACTAAATTCCACTGTCCTCAGGAAACATAGAAACTATATACACATATTCTGCCTTAAAAAGAATTCCAATCTGGCATGAAGCCCAAAAGTAGTGTGAACTTGGCTTTAAAAAAAATATTATTAGACACACGAGAAGTGGATGCATGATACTGAAATCAGTTTTTTCAAAGTGTGTAGCATGTTATGACCCAACAATGTCAATTCATGAGCCCTTTCTCCCTCAAAGTAAACTCTGTAATATCAATGGGCATTCAACAAGATATACATTACAAAGTAAAAAATCATAGAATTGTATTTTTTGCTCACAAAGGACAAGACACCCTCATTTTTTGAAAGTCCTTTCTATTATTGGATACCTATCTGACTCAGACTGATATCACTTTATTGTTGGAATAGGAACTTGAAACAAAATCTAGCTAATTGAATGGCATTTTGGCTGGCGAGCCATTCTCAACTCAGCTTTCTACTTCTCTCTACTCTAGAGCCTAAATTAGTCCCTGTATCTTTCTCCTTAAAGTCCTATCATTACTATGGAGCCATGTGTTTCAACAGCTGCTAGATGATGTGTCTGCTTTCACTAACAGGCAAATGCGTTCTTCAAGCGAAAAAAAAAAAAAAGAAAAAGAAAAAGCAGGAAAAATGGAAATGCAATGTAATTTTATTCTGCTGTCAAGGGCTCTGATTAGTTTCTGTCACTAAATTCTTAGGACTAATTCATCTCCTCACAGTTGCTTATTGAGAACTGTAAAATCCCTTACCTGGAGTTCAGATAGTTGCCAACTCCAGGTAATATACTTGTGTTGTGAAAACCTATATTATGGCTTGCCATACTCCCCTAAAGCAGTCATTTTGCTCCTTCATTTTCACAGGTCCAGAAGTAGTAGAGAAATAAAATTAAAATATAGCAGGGGCATCCTGGAGGAGAATCCAGAAATAATTATTTGTCTACGCTAAGCAGTGGCATTGGAGGCTGACCATGTGAATGTGAGGAATGAGACCCAGAGTCAAAGAGGACTGGGCAAGAACAGCAGGGAGAATAAAAGGGATGCATGAGCCAACAAACATAAGCAAGATACAAGAGTAATTAATTATGTAGAACATGAACTCTTCAAAGTATTATCAGTTCCTGCTGGAGGGTCTTAACCAGCTATAGGCAATATATTTTTATATATATTTTCACCAGATAGATAAGTATTTGTGGAATGACTGTATGAATTAATAAATGGATATATAAATAATCTGGGGGAATTAAATATTAAAATAGGTAGATTTTTCCTTTCACTGGAAATTAAGTCATCATTTTCTGGCAAAGATATACTGAAAGAGTTATCTTCTGTATAACACAAGCATAATGGGATTTTGGATGATGATTGAAGAGATCAAATAAATGATCTAGCTAATTCAAAATAAGAATAAAGTTTGAGTTAAGTCTATTCTCTATCTCAATTATCTGTGTAATGTTTTTTAAAATGTTAACAAATGATTAATGTAAAAAAAGAGTTTAGAGAAATAAAATTAGTTTGTCATGCTTAAAATTATAGACATTACATGCATTTCAACAGGATGAAGTTGAACAGTTGGTTTAGGAATGCTACTTATGTGTTTGTTTAAAAAGACTCAAATGGACCATTACTTTGTGTACTATTGAATACCTGAAAGGAAGAGATGTACTTTTATTTTAACACATCTAGCAATTCAAGTTTTCTTTTTTATCCTACTAGAATACACTGGCTTTTATAACATTTTAAACTAAGTCTCAAATGTATAAGCTGATAGAAAGAAGCAGACCCAAGTGGGGGAAAAAACAAAACAAAACAAAAAACAACAGTAATGCGATTTTTCTTGAAAATAAAAGTGAGGAAAAGAAATTGGGTAAGTGCCACCAAAGGGAAATATTCTAATTATTATCAGTGTGTAATATAAGAAAAAAATCTATGAACTCTTCTGCAACTCAGTTTTTGTTAAAAAAAAAAACCAAAAAAACAAACCAAAAAAAGCAAACCTCAGTCTTCGTTTAAAAAAATTTTTAAAATACTCCGTCTTGTAAAAAAAAAAAAAAAATTCGAGGCAAACCAGTGTAGATCAGTCTATAAGTCTATACTTTCTAAAAAATCTAAATGTGAGCAGACAGGATGTTTGGAGTTGTGGCACTTTAACAGAGCTCTAATCTACTGGGCACCCACACTTTTCTGACATGCAGCTCTTAATGATTACAAGGAAACATATTTTAGTACCATAGAATGAGTTGAATAGTATGCATATTACTATGTAGTTTTATTCCTAGAGAAGTCTCTATCTACTGTATCAAAGAACATTGGACATTAAATATCCAGATGTCAACATAGAGCTGTGTGGTGACTCTCACACAAAGTCCAAAGTTAATGATCCTCTTTGCCCTTCAGGGTAGCAGCATTTTTACTTATCTGAAATACCTACTTCCCCCAGGCAGACTGTCTCGGTCAAAGATGCACAGCTTGTATCCAAATTCATTCTCCAAAACTCCACGGAGGGTCAGTAATACAAATTCCTCTTCTTCGGCATTCCTTGCATAGGACACATAAATATCATACTCCTTCCCATCTAGGAAAAGGATCACAAATTCAATATAAATTAGGAAAGTTACCCAATAGTATGACATTTGCTTTTACATCTAACGTCTGCATATTAGACATTTCCATTATGTGGCAGATTCCAGTGTGATTTTCTACTTATAACAAGTCTCCAGGCAAAATGACTTTTTGGAGGTTTGGTTTCAAGTTTTATCTGATGTGTCCTCTACTCTCATTTTACTAAGTTGAGTCTTTGTGGTGGAGAGAGGTTTGGCCTATTCAACTGTAAATTAAGAGAAGCAGGGTGTAAATCACAGGTGCTGGAAGCTAATATTATTCAGAAAATTTTAACTTCTTGTACTTGTATACTACTCATTAATATATTAGAATTATATATTGAACAAAACATTGTGAAATTCTGAATTATTTACACCTGAAAAGAACTAGAATCATAAATATAATTAGTTTCAACGGATCAATCTTTCACAAAATTGCCTAATTATAAAAAGCACTTCTCATTAAAAATATAGAGTCTGTGTTTCTTCCACAAGTCTACTGAATTAGAATCTTCATGGGATGCACCCAAGAATTTGTATGTTTAAATGTTGTATTCTTTTCACTAGGCAAATTTTCACTAGAGCAGTGTTTCTTAAACTTTAATGTGTACATGAATCACTTGGGAATGTACTTTAAATGTAGATTCTGATTCAGTAGGGGCCTAAATCTGAGATATTCCTTCTCATAAGCTCCCAGGTGATGCTGTGCTACTGGTTCTTGGATCACCCCCTGAGTACAAAGATTATGTGGACCTGTATTGCCCAATACAGCACAAGCCACATGTGTCTACTGAGCACCTGAAATGCAGATGGTCTGAATTGAGGTGTGCTGTAAGAGTAAAATACAGTACATTTAATTTCCAAGATTTTCAGTATCAAAAACAGACTGTGAAATATATCATTAACTTTTTAACATTAATTATAAGCTAAAATGATAGTATTATACATACTTTTAGTCGACTCATTATTTTTACTTCTTTTTCTCTATTTTTTCAATGTGGCCACATGAAAATTTTAAGTTAGATACGTGGCTTGCATTATATTTTTGTTTGCACAATGCTAATTTACACAAAACCACACGTTAATTCAATAAATCAGAATGATATACGTTGGAAATTTTTTCAACAGTAAGAGTTGAAATACAAGGTAATCTGCTTGAATCTTCCAGTCAATCTAGGTTTTATCAAGTTATTATGCTTTCATTTTTTTCAACATGCTTTCTAAAAATGACAGTAAAAGAGGTTTACATCAGACTTCTGTTCCTTACCTAAAATAGTTTCATCTGTTCCAAAATGAGCCCGGTAAAATAGGACCATCTCCAGCCAGTAAACATGGTAAACAACAATGAGAATCACCACTAGCAGGACTGTGGCTCCAAATCCACATGCTAGCTCCACTGTGTACCTTGGAGCTGGTACTGGAGTGAACAACAAAGAAACAGAACTGATTTCTATGCAGTGATCACAGTGACCTGTCATGCTGGCAGATAGCTGGATAAGCCAAACAGCTTAGCATGCACCTGCCTTATATGTGTGAACAAGCAGAGATAACGCAGTAGAGTTCAAGCACACTTAAAAGATGAGACTGTCATATTTGTCTTTTTGTTTCCAGCACCTAACATAGAAGGTATTTTTTTATTTAAAAAGTCTTTAGTGATATACAAATTAAAACAGAATTTTAACTTTGGGAAAGATTTAGTAGGTCATTTAATTCAAGCCATGATTTGATACCTGAATCTCCTCAAAAACATTTTTGAAAAGCATCATTCTATCCATCTATTGCCCATCTTTCAGGCTGGAGTCCTCACTGCTACCTGAACAAATTCACAATACTGATAAAATTTAAATTTTTGGTGCAGCTGATTTCAGTAACCATTTTTAATGCATTTCCATTAGTTTTAGTTTCATCCTCTCATCCAGTGTCAAATGGAAGGAATTTAACTCTTTCCATTGTACTTGGAAATAGGCCTCAAAGTCTTATTTTCATTGGGCAGAAACAGAAGGCATCCAACAAATCCTGAATATGCTTGGCTCTGAAAGTATTTCCCATTTCCACAGTTCTAGAGTATACATTCCAAAGACTCATTTGCAATATCTGAGTATGGACAGATTTTCACATTATCTGCTTATAGTTTTATATTATAAGCACCTTACAAATTTCTTTGGAACTATCAGAAATAGAGTGAGCTTATTCTCTATTATCAACAAACCAGATACAGTATTAACTCCTCAGTTCTGAAAACAATGTCTGTCACAATCAAATCACAAACCACCTACCTGTCTCATTTATCATTGCTTTTTCCTCAAAAACATCAGGAAGATTTAATGTCATGCCTTTCACCCACACTATGATTTCTGGCTAGAAGTCCTTTCTCTTTTTTAATTTTCAAGTCCATGTTCAAATATTATTTTATATGAGCTTTTGTTGAATAAAATTACCCTTGCAACCTGAGCTCTGTCTGGTAGAAATTCTCACTCTTTCCTTTGTTTGTCATTCTACGACAACATTTCCCCATTAATCTATACACTGACAGTCTTCCATGTGGAAATTATGTCTTTTTCATCCACCCTACCCCTAGAACACCTAGTGTCTCAATGAACATTTCCAGATCTAACACTTTACATTTCTTGGATATTTAAAACAAGCCTAGTTCTACACTGTATATCAGCAACTTCATTTGGTTGCTTATTAGCTTATAATAATGAAGCTCAAGGGTTTGAGAGAGGAACAGTATATTTACCGGATCTGAACCAGGAGTGGTTTAAATCATATATTAGTCCATCTCATAATTATTTAATGAGATCTACCATTTGCCAGGAGCTTTGTAGAATACAATGGTAAATACAAAAATGGTCTCTAATATTCAAATGCAGGGCAGCAAATAAATAAGACTTCTCACAGAAACAAAGATCCGAGTATCACATGTTCTCACTCATATAATGGACCTTGAACATCCAATGTAATACTATAAGAAAATGACTGACGGTACTGGGAAACTATGGTGGGGGGGTGGGATTAACAGTAGCAAATATCTGTCTGGGGATGGGAAAACACCTCTTATCAACAGGGTGCCCGAATGAAACGTAATTGTACACCTAACCCTTAACTGTACCCCACAAAACCATAATAAAAAACATTGATTAATAAAAAAATTTTTTAAAAATCTACAAAAAAAAAAAAGAAAATAAAAAAATAAGCCAGTTTATTTTAAATAGTGACTAATCCATAAGGAAAATAAACCAGAGGAATGTGATGGGGTAACTGAGGCATGGGGCTATGGAAGGGGAAGTAAGGTGGTGAGGGAAGGCTTCTGGAGCACCTAGAACATTGTAGGTGTTAAGTATTTGCTGAGACATGACTTAGAAGAATCAATGCAAAGCTGGGATTGCTACAGAAGTTCCCTGACTACAAAGTGCTGGCATCTCTGCACAACACCACTGATAACGTTTGGATATTTGTCCTCTCCAAATCTCCTGTTGAAATGTGACTTCCAATGTTGGAGGTGGGCCCTAGTGGGTAGTGTTAGGGTCATGGAGATGTACTCTGCGTTTTGTAAGCCAGTCTTACTTTTTGAATCCAACTTATTGTATATCACCTTTACTTCTTCTCCCTCTCCCTCTCCCTCTCTCTCTCCTTCCCTTCTCTAGCCTTCTCTCCTTCCTTCTCTTCCCCCACCCACATTGCTAGGTGACAAGCTGGCTCTCCTGCCTTCCTGAAGGGCTCACCAGGTGCAGATGATGTTTCTTCTACAGCCTGCAAAACCACTAGCTAAGTAAATCTCTTTGCTTTACAAATTATCCAGCCTCAGGTATTCCTCTATAGCAATGTAAAACAAGTTAATACAACACTCATGAAGTTTAATTATTGATCATATACTTGTGGAAAAATCACTTTTAAAGCAGGAATCTATTCTAAGGGGAATATGGTAAGTAGCCTGGAACTGAGTTTCACATTCTCCAGTTATAGGACAAATTATAAGAGTTTTGGGTTTGCTATTCTCACCCAGGATATTAATCCTGCTGCAGGTACAGGACACAGCAGTGCAAAATTATTATAGGTACTCTTGTACTCATTCCATGAATAATGATGTTTTAAAATAAGAAAACTTCATCATAAGATGCCAGAAGCAATGTCAGTAGAGTTGTTGAAAATTTACTAAGATCAATTTGGGTAACTGGCGTGAAAATGACTGTCTGGTATTTCTGAGTACATGTTATAGTAACAGTACACTGGGTAATTCCCACTCTTTATTATTTGTTCAGTTCTTTTGCCCCCTCTGGATGGAGAGTTGCTATTGGCTACACTCACTTGAAATTATTTCTTTTTAAAATATCAATAGAGATCTTGCTTAATGATCAAGAGATAAATTATCCTCATAAGCTTCTCTCTGCCTCATTCACTTCACCACTGCCCATTTTGTTTCTAACGAGGCTTCTTAATTCTGTTTTGTGTTATACAGTCATTGTGTCATATTTACAGATTGTATTTTGTGCAGTTACCTTGAAAACAAGGAGTCCCTAATGCTACCTAACTAATTAGACTCTTAGGATAAATAATCCACCAGCCTGATTTTCTAAATGACTTGGGTCTCATGTCGAAAGTGCTCTTAAAACTTTGCTGGCTTGCACAGAAAGTGATTTTCAGCCTACGTTTTCTGTTTGCCCAGTTAGAGACTTTGGTGTTTGGGCACAAAGATTTTACTCTGATGCTCTACATGTCTGATGCTATACATATACTTTATATACATATAAAAAGTTTCCAATCAGGAAGAGATGATGCAATGTGACCTCATTGATTTTACTAATAATCTGATTCAAGAGGTAACCAAATTGTGCTACTTGCTTGAATCAGAATTTTCTACATCTCTTTTGCAAGTCTACGGCAATAACTGGCTCCAAAGCCCAAATTTCCAGATAACCACCTTTGTTAAAACAGTTCAACACCTTAGCTCTTGTCATTTTTCCTGTTTTGAGTTCTTGTTCTACAATTATGCTTCTCCTAGGAAATCTAATTTATTTCCTTTATCTTCATTATTATAGTTGGAGACTATCCATTGAGTGTCTCAACTAAATGCCAGTTGCTTGGACTTCCAAGTGTTCCCTGACACAGAACCCATAGATACTCTGTGCTAAACCTGTGGGACTTGACGATTTTTGCAACTGTGGTAATGACCATTTTCCTGAATTAAAAAGAGAGTGTCTTTTTAAAATGATGGCAATCAGGAGATGTATGACAGAACTGACTTTCAGACTTTTAGTTTGGCTATTATGGTATACTAAAACTTGTACATTTTGGACTTCAGTTTCTTTTCTTAGAGGAATAATTCTTTCATACCTAAAATACAGTTTTCCAAAGATGGATAACTAGTAGTGCAGGAGTGTGATCTGTGAGAGAAAAGATACAAAAAAGGTAAACCCTACAATCACTCTGACTTTTTGACTAAAGGCATTTTTTAAAACTATGGCACAAAAAGGAAAAAGCCAAAAGAAGACAAGGGTCATGCTGAGCTAAGGAGACAGAAGTTAGAGTTCAAGTCTATTGAGCTGGATTGCATTTAGAGGCCTGGGTACCAAGAGAAGAAAACTGTGTAGAAAAGGAACTCTAGAAATCTGCACGGGCTTGCCTCGAGTCTTTGGTCAAATATAAAACTATGCATAGTCAATATGGTACTTTAAAAGGATAGGCAAAGAATAGCTGGGAGTTGATTAGCTCTAGGAGCACATGCAGGGCTGGGAGACAGTTGAGTTCAGACTACTGAGTGAAAAGTCTTTGTCAAGCAACCCAAGTAATCAAGTGGAGACCCCAGGTATAACATGCCCTAGAAGTAGGTCCAATCCAACTTACAGAAGGGCTATTTTAGACCTACTCTAACAAAGATGAGATACTTTTAAAAAGCAAGCTGTTATGCAAGTAAATTAACTTCCTGCTAGAACAAAACTTAACACTCTTACAAAATTCAGACATTCAATGATGTAACATCCATAATGTCCAGCATATGATTTTTAAAAAGCTAGATGAAGAAAAAGGGAAAAAACATACATATTCAGAAGAAAATCAGCTATTTCAAGTACAATCAGAATTGACAAAGATGACAGAATTGCCAGATAAGTATTTAAAAATGAATATTGTAAATGTATCTTTTGAAAAAAGAAAAAGACCATAAAGATCGTGAACAGCAATTGGGAAATATCAATAGAGACATTTCAGTAGAGAAATGGAAATTCAAAACCTGATAATACAATTAATGAGATTAAAATGCTACAGATTAGACATCATAAAAATGATCAGTAGACATTAAAAGCTACACAAACACAAAGGGGAAAGATAATATAATAAAAATAATGACAGCCTCACTATTGGACAACACAAAGTGGTCTATTCTAAATTTAACTGGAGCATGAAAAAAGAGTGAGGAGG